CGCCGCACTGTCGCCGGCCGGCGCACTCCCTGCGGCAACTGCGGCCTCCCCCTGTGTTTGCAGAGTTTCGGTTGCGCTCGCGTTGCCTTTGGCTTCCGGCGGTGCTTTCGTTGCCCGTGGCGCCTCTGGGGCGGTTTGGGGCTCGCCTGCTGGTCGCGGTGGCGCACTCTCCGCCCTTGTCCCCTGCGGCTCCCTCACGCGCGCAGAATCGCCGGGCGTGGGAGAAACTCCCAGCAACTCCACTCCCCTGCTTACTGTCAGTCGCAGTGGCGGTGTTCCGATTTGTGTTGTTGGCGGTGGCCTGCGCCGCTGCTTCCCCCGCACTGCCTTTCGGTGCACCAGCGACATCGGGGTGCGTGGCGCCTGTGCCAGCGCCGCCCCCACTGGTCTGTGCAGTCGGATCTCCAGCCGCGGGGACGCTGACGGAGGGAGACGGAAGAGGCGTGGCCTCGGGAATTCCTCCTGGCGCATGCTGCGCAGCAACTTGGCGCTGACGACCTCCTTCTTCTCCGACTGCTGGCGTTGTTGATGGGATTACCTCCTCCTCCTCTCCTGCGTCTTCCTCATCCTCTTCTGGTTCTTCCTCGCCTTCTTGTCGATCATGCTGTTCTTCTTCCTTGGCCACTTGAACTTGACCTTCTTGGCTGTTTTCTTGACCTGGGCCTTTTCCCTCGACGTCGTCCCTTTGCCTTCGTTGAAAGGCTGCCTGCGTCCACACCTCGTCTGGTTTCCTCTGATTCTGCACCTGCTGTCGGCAGCACTGCCTTGTTGTCTGCTTGTGGCGCCGGCGCTGGCGGCAGTGCCGGCTCCTGCCCATCGGTCCCGCTGAGATCTGGGCTTTCCGGTGTCTTAGCGGTGTCTGCCTCTTCCGGCCCCTTCTCCGTCCCCGCGCCACTGCCCGGCAGTGTGTTGCCACCACTCAGCTGATTATCTTCACTGCTTGGGTCTTTTGGAGTGCCACTTGTGACCCCGTCCTGCGATGCATCTCCCCCCTGCGCAACTTTGGCGGGAGCCTCGGCGAGGCACCCAGCGGCGGCGCACAGCAGCAGCAGCAGCAGCAGCGCCAGTGGGAGCAGCGGCGCGGTGCGGCGTGGCCGGCGCATCGCTCGAAAAAAGTGCACGTGGGGCCCCCCTTCGAGCGGCAGCCGCGGTGGTGGTGGCGGCGGCAGCACAGGCCCTCTCCGCGGGAGGAGGAAAAAGAGAGAAGGGGAAAAAAGAGGAGCAAACGGCAAAACAAAACAAAACAATCAAACGCGGTGTAAGCGGCACGAGGCACACGCTGCCGCGGGCGCACGCCGCTGCGGCGCAAACCCCGCGGTGGGCCTCCGCACCGGGGTCCCGAGAGCCGCGCACGACGGCACGCAGGAGGCCTGAGAAAAGGCGCGCCGCACGGCGTCCCGCCCACCAGCGTCCGGCCCAACACGCAGCGTGCGCCCACCCCGCGCCGTGGCCGCAACCAAAGCGGGAGGGAGGCAAAGAGCGCCACACGATGCCGCCGCACCGGCAAGCAAACCGCACAGCAGCACTTCCGCCGTCCACCGGCACTTTGCCCCTCCACACACCTCAGCTCCCGTCAACCCCAAAACACGCACCCACGAGAGAAGGGAAGGGGCAGTGCGCAAAGCCGAGGCAAAATAAATGGGGAAGCCCGGAATGCAAGCGGGGTCCCTCGCACACGACCACCGCAGAGCGTTCGTTGGAAAGATTTAAAACAAAAACAAAAACGATTGGTATTCGTAAACCGAGAAAAAAACACGGAATTGTATAGGACCTCCAATATAAGCAAGCAAGGCAAAGTGGGGTGGAGTGCATAGAAGATGTGCTTGACACCAAAGGAAAAACAAAACAAAAAAGAAACGGAGTGTATACAGCACAGTCGTATATTCGCGTATAGAAGGATATAAATCGAAGTGGGGCCCTTTTCCCGCGCATGCCCTGCTGAGCACGGGCCACGCAGGAGGCGAGAGGAACCGCCACGCCGTGCAACCTCATCCCCGCCGCCGCTCAACAAAGCGCTGCTGCTGCTGCGGCGGCGGCAAGAAGCAAAAGCAGAGAGAGGCCGGCAGCAGCCACAGTGCCATCGCCGTGGGCCGGAGGCGTGGCGTCGTTCTTGCCTGCCGCGCCAGTGCCGTTGGGCCCTGCGAGGGTGGCAGCACCGTCACCGGCCTTGTCAGCTGCGTCCCCGCCTGCTGGCAGTGTCCCCGCCGGAGGACTCACACCGCCGCTGCCGCCGTGGCTGCTCTCGGGAGGCCTGCCCTCGATGTCCCCTGCCTCCGGCGCCGCAACCCCGCCCTCCCCGGGCACAGGCTCCTGCGCGCCCTCCGGGTCCGCTGCGGGGAGCCCCTGCCCCGTCGACGGCACACCGCTGCCCGGCTCGCTGCTGCCGCCGGTGCCGCCTCCACCACCGGCGCTGTTTTCTTCGGGAGGCAGCGCGATCGCGGGCCCAACCTCAGCAGGGCCGGCCACTGGCGGCGCTGACTCTGGGGCTGGCTCTGGCTCTTCCACAGGGGCCTTTCTCTTCCACACCTTGTCCTTGCCGTCCCATTCAAACCCCGTGCGGACGCTGCCGCCAATGGCGGATATCGTGCACACCTCATCGTACTCGGGGCACTTCACTTTGTCGGCGTCGAAGGGCGGAATCTCCCACGGAACCTCCGCCCCAGACGTGCACGACATCCAATCCTCCCCGCTGCTCTTCTTCATTTTCAATTTCACTTCAGCGCCAAGGCACTTTACCTCCGCGTGCAC